CATACAGTTCCAACAGAAGAGCCACAGTAGTCTACGCTGGTAAAGATAATTCCTCGCTATCTTCATGGCTTTCTGCAAAACATCTCCTCTGAAAATAGAAAATGTCGCATAATAGGCCCACTATGCCTGCTGAGAACTGTTCAAAGATTCCAATTAGTATACAGAGGATGGGTTATCGAGAGGAGAGGGAACACGTAAAGCCAGTAAGCGCTTAAAAACGAAATGAAGATCTAAGAATTCGGAAAATAACATTCATCTAATCTCACAATGTAGTGGATGAGATTGAGTACGTGGCGCATTCTGAGGTGAGTTTTGAGGCCCTTCTCTGTGTGTAGCGGTTATCCCGCATAAGCGGGATTATAAGCTTGGAAGCGAGATATACACATCACATGCGAGCAAATACTTTTCGAGATGAAAATCGAGTGCATGGCGCAATCCTATGTGGAGCTTTTCCAAAGTATCAGAGCAAATTCTTATAGCTTCCGACAAGCTGAGTTCAAAGATATCTTCGGATTCTCGAAAGCTCAATTTTGAACCGAGGTATAACGAATTTACGAAATTAACGAGGATTCGCGTTATTCGCGTGAATTTTTGATTTCAAACGGCGAGTACTGTAGAAGTGAGAATTCATTCATTTCAGAAGATTATGGTGTAATTATGTTGTTGCAACAGAAGTTAGGTTATTGTAGAATGTTGTTACGTAAGGGGATCGTTGAATAAGAAGCATACTTTGTAAGGACGTTGTTGTATAATAAACTGTTTGATTTTTGATCATCTTATAGAGGACTCTGGTATGGCTCAATTACCTATTTAAAGAATGACTTTTGTTAAGATATATATTAACAAAAAAAATTTCTGAAAAAGTGAGTCTTTGAAAGGATTAGCTCCTGATGATCCTGACACGGTGTCAGGCGGCCACAGGGAGCAAACAGCGCCTGACACCACATGGGTGTCAGGCGGTCCGGAAAGGGTCAAGTATGTTCCCACTGAAGGAAAACAGTAACCACGATAAGAGACTGATTCTACGACGTTCTGATTGTGAGTGCCAATCGCTACTATTTTCCTTGAATGGCTGTCGCGACCTAGGAGCGTATCCTCCTCAGAAAAAGGAACAGTTCGCAAAGATTAACACATTTGACGAGACCGAAATATAATGACGATCATCTCAATAGTCTTGCAACAAACTGGCCGAATTGAAATTTATATTTTTCATTGTCTGTTTCCAATCATCCCTGGACATGCTACCATACATCAATACTACAATGATTTGCCAACACAACTAGTAGACTGATTCGACGCCTCCCTGTAGGACTGTATCATTCTGATCGAGAAAGCATCAGAGTGTCGATTTAGTCGTCTTATGGAAGTAGACGAGGCTTTCTTCTCTAGGAAGTAGGTTTGAGAGAGGAGCGAAGGGCATATTGCGACGGATTGTCAGGGCCAGAAACAGTGAATACGGACAAAGCTCTCCATCCATAACCTTGAAATTTTCTGAGTTTTATAGCAGAGGTTTTCAACGTTCATACAAAGCAAACTTTTGCCTGTTTTCTTTCGTATTGAAAGCGTTTAGCTATCGAATGCTGATGGAGATGTGATGACTCTCGCGTGGACGGCGACACTACACGAACGGGCGTTCTAGTCAGCTAAACTCCTCCTCATGGTTCCAGCCAAATATTCCGAGATAAGCCCTGCTTGGCGACGTTGGAATTAAGCAATAAATCTCCCGACGCGTTTGAGCTGAGACACCGCCGCTTCGTTAGTTTGTTAGTGAACTGTACCACTCCCATCTTCGAGCGAATGTGATGATGGTTCAACTCGTAGGAATCTTCTATTAAGGCACTTTGAAATTAACGGACAGTCATCGTGTTTGAGATCGGAATCGCGCCGAGGCACGTGGGAGACCATCTAACCATTGTTCGGAATCTTAACAGGTCTTTGAGATGCACCATCCTGGTCTCCTTAGTCGCATCGATAATCGCTCTATCAAAATGATCGAATACTCTATCCAATCCTTCTCTACGGCGATCAGGACGTGCGTCAGACACATCGTGTTATTGTTCAAGTCACAGCGGTGGTTGGCATTGGTATTTTCAAATAAAAAAAAGGTCGCGCTGTCGAGTGTAAGCTGCAAACGTGGCTGTGCAATGTCGGCTTGAGAGAGCGTGGCACTACGCATATCTTCTAGCCAAATCCTAGTCAGCGACTGACTTGCGAGAAATATCAAGCAGTTACCCTCCTAAAAAAAAATAAAGGGCCACCGGGACCTTCTCGCATAAACGGTAATATCCTGATAAGTAAAGCAGACAACGAGCTGACCTTGTTGGCTGAAATTCAAAGGTTTATCTTTCATAGGAACCATGTTGCGGATTTCAGAATCGTCCTCCTAAAAATTCGGATTCATAGCATTAGATAATGTGGTTTGTTGCAAGACTTTGGACCGACCTGTAATATATGATCCCCGCGCTTTGCAGGCCACGTCGACCGTGCGGGATATATGGATACCCCCGCACCCATTACACTCGTTTTTTTTTCGCGCACGCCTGATTCTTTTAAAATTGCTTGTATTCATCCTATGGAAGAGACTTTGACGTAGCTACAACCATAGTGGCCCATGAAGTAGTCACATATGTTTCAATTTTGAGGAGGATTTCTAAACCACACGAAAACTTCCGTTCAATCAATTTTTCGTTTACTTTTTCTTTTTATGAACGTGAAGATCTGAATAGTAGTAGAAGTAGATACGGAACGTTAGGGATGACAGTATGTGTGTTTCGATTGAAATAATCAACGTAAAATTGCTTTTGAGCTAGCTACGAAAAATTTCGCTTTTTCATTATTATTCCATGTTTTTGATTGAATTCCACCACTACACCCCTGAGTAGGTTGTGCTCATTACAATTTACTGATTAGGTTTTGTACTAATCATTATCTATGCGTTCATCAGTCAAAATCTGCTTGAACGACATGAGGCGGCCGCACCCGCAAAATCGGCCCAGTCCCACGTGGCCAAAAAAGCCAAAACTCACATTGTCGTCAACGTGTTAATAATCTATGGCTCCTCCTTTTATCAGTGCAATATTAATTAGCCTCCGTGGCCTACTGGAATCGAGATCCCGAGACAGCTAACCTTTGACTCACTCCATTGCTTCACAAGGTTTTAGCTCTTTCTGAAATCCTAGCTGCTTTTTATTCGCATGAGACTGCCTAACAAACATGTTGCAGAGATTTTTCCATTGAAATGCGACCAAAACTGCAGACCGGCGAGTTCAAATCACAGCTTTTGAGATTGCTGCCTCCTTCTCGTTTGCTGACCTATATAGGTGCCAGAATTGTTCGACCACGATCAGCAGCAATTGGGAAGGAGTTGGAACCCGCGCAAGGCGGCTGATCGTCGGGTTGTTCAAATGTCTAAGCATCATCACTGACTCAGTGTGCCATGAAACCTTGGAAGGATAGCTGTTGTTGTTCGTTGTTTTGTCTGAGCCAACGATGTAGTTTGAGCTACGTATTCTTATACCGCTAGCACCCAAATGAGTTATTCAACGAGAGAGTGGCAACTCTGTTAAAACACAAATGCTCTGAGAAGGTTATTCTGCAGTGTAGATCGCTTTCTGATTAGAATTTTCTGACACCTTCAGGGAGTGTCGTGAGAATGAAAGTTAGTTAGGAACCACAAAAGGCTAAAACAAGCACTTCTGACGAGCGGGAATGGATCGGTGCTCAGCTGCTTTAGGATCTCGATTCCAGTATGCCACGAAGGCTATTTGATGCTGCATTTCTGAAAGGAGGAACCGTATATTATTAAATGTCTCACATACCCCATTATTCTCGCCAAACGTTCTTGTTCTCAGAGCGATCAGTGGCTTTAGCATCACTTCTTCAAGAAGGTAAAAGAAAAGCTGCTCTCGAAAAAGTTGCGATGGAGGGTTTGCTCATGAAGGAGAATCATTTAGTGATGTTAGGAAAGTTTCCTAATGAGCTTGTTCAGGAAATACTAACTCGAAAGACACTTACTGATTAGGAAACGCACCGAAACACAGCAGAGAAGTTGAGGATGAGGTTAATGATTTGCGGCTTAAACTTACGTCACGAGGAGCACACACAAAGGGACGGCAAATGATCAGGGCCTTCGAGGAATCCTTCTCTGAATATTCCCTCGATTCGCATAAATTACCCTTTCTGGTCGAATGCTTTGACGCTGAAGAATTTCTTCCTCTAAAGCCAATAAAGAAATATTAAGATTGCTGGGATGGTAGCGGTGTCGTTCGTTATGTCGTCGCTTTCTCCGATCCTAGCGGACAAGGGAAAGCAAGTGCTCGAGATAGGACTTGGAGGTGGAAGTTTCGACATGGGACTACATAAAATAAAGCCAGAAGTAATTGTTTCTTCTTAATGTTTCTGTGCTACTGACCAACGGCTACCCGTTCCTTTCCGATTTCTCCCTTAGATAGCAATTTTGTAGAAATATGTTCTTGGATGACTATTCATGCTTTTGCCAAGAGTTCAGTTCAGGTCAATATCACTGCCGTTGAGATAGACCCAGCAGTTGTGAAAATGGCATTCAAATGGTTTGATGTTGTCGATTCGGGTACCCACCACACGGTTTCGCAGGATGGAGTGAAGTTTCTTGAAAACGCTAATAGAGAAGGTGCCGAAGTACGAGTGCATTCTTGGTCCTCAGTGCTTTGGTCATAGCTCGGCCTGTCTAGGTATCTTTCCTTCATGCTTAAGTATCACGCAACCCCTTTTTAGGGCTCACAGCATTACAAGTGTACCAGTTTGGCACCGCTCGCTGCTGCGGTATGTCAAAGTATGCTCTGAACACAGTGTTAAACTGAGCATAGCCGGGTTTTGTGTAAGGCAGCATGTATGCTTTCGATGAATCTGACTGCTGTTATTGACGATATTGCATGGTAATATAGCACTAACTTCTCATGGCTCAGCAGCACTTATAAACTTGTATCATTTTCTTCGATCTAACATGATCTAGCTGCCGAATAAGCTTTGGATAACTCTTGCGATTACTTGTGCCGCTTTCTATTTACTCGAGCGTGAACACTTACCATGCTTCGGACGTTTGGATGGTTTAGCGGTTGAATAACTTCCGATGCCGTTCATATTGAATAGAAAAATCAATACGTGTCACTAATGCTAGTCACTTCACGACCTTTTAAGAAGCTCGAGCAGATTAGCGGTTCAGTAGATCTCGATGCTGATAATGACATAGTAAATGAATGGAACGATCGATTTCTAGTCGATCCAATCACTTTCTCCGCGTATTGCTTAGATAGAGCCATCACTTTTATCTGCAGTCATGGAAATGTTTCATGAGTTCATATGGGAATGCCGTTATAGAAGTTACAGGTTTCCTCGTCTCTCACTTCTGTTAGAAGCAGTCAATTCATAGAGAATGATTTCGCCCAGCTTACCTCTCGCTCGTGGGATCGACAACCTTATGAGCTTTGCTTTTTGAACAACTCAGTGTGGTGGCCATAGAGCATATAGACTCTTTCAGATTAACTGCATGGAAAGACAGGAACTGGTGAAAATCCGACACCTCTGACCTTTCTGAACAGGGGTTTTCTTCAAGCCATAGTAACCTGAGCGAAAAAGATTTAAAATAGCAGACTCAGCAGGCTTTTACCTTCAACACTAATGGTGTGGAACGATGCGTTAGCCCTAGCCAAGAACATAAGAAGTGTGACTGAACAAAAAACTTGTCTTGGAAATGCGATATAAAGGGAGGAAAACGGCTTTGAAGTGGGCGTGGTTGCTGTCGGCTGTAATCCCCTCGGTCGACTTCTAACCACTCCCACTCCGAATCCGTTCGGATTCCTTTCCAGCGGCTTTCAAAGGTGGGTTTTTTTGTTAAATCACATTCTTATGCACTCGGCTAGGCTAGCGCACTTGCTCTACGTCATTACTGTCGAAGGTAGAAAACCTGCTGGGACTGTTGCTTTAACCATTTCGACATCGCGAGGTGGACAGAGATCTACTGGAAAGCAAGTGTTACATTCAGCTTGTTTATGGCTCAGTTGAAGTTAATAAACAAAGGTTTATCTTTTCTCATTTCAAACTCAAAGACAGCAACTAAGGCGAGCATGATTCGGTTCCAGATGACATCACGTAATCTTCTTCTTTTTCTCAGCGTTGCTGTCCAACTTTCGTCGGGTACGCTCTTTTCACCAAGGCTTTCCAGCGATCTCGATTCCATGCATCGTCTGCAGACACGACAGCAGCATTCATGTCGATTTTCACGTTGTCCATCCATCGTAATTTGGGTCTGCCTCTCGAACGTGTACCAGTGAAGGTAATACTATCGGCTGATCTGGACACGGTGTCTGGAGGCCTTCGCAATATGTGACCATACCAGCGTAGGCGAGAGGAGTCGAGGGAATTGACGATCGGTTGGACCTTGATCTTGTCTCGAATGTCTTCGCTCCGAATGTGGTCGAATCGCGTGTGTCTCAGACTCCATCGCAACATCTTCATCTCTATAGACCCATATGCTCTCGTTTCGTCAGCCGTCATCTGCTTCGTTTCCGCTCCATAATGGCGACTGGTCTCACGACTGAGGTGTAAATTTTAGACTTTAGGCGGATTGGCATTTTCCTGTCACAGAGAACGCCAGTGACAGTCCTTTATTTGTTCCATGCAGCGTTTATTGTAGCAATTGTATCGGCTTTACTATCGGCGTCCGCGGCCAGTGTGGACCCTAGATACGGAAACTTGGTGATCTTGGGTAGGGATGGGAAGTCTACTGTGATCGAATACGCTGGGGCCGTTGTGCACATGTATTCTGTTTTGTTTTGAGCCTGAGTCCATGGTCCTTTAGCTGTTTCATCCACTGATTGACATGTCCCTCTAATTTCATTTTCGACCGATCCATTAGCAGTATATCATCAGCGTACCCAAGCGTCATCAGGGGCTCTTCTCAAATTTTCCTGGACGCATAGAATGAAGAGTAACGGTGAGAGGCCCGACCCTTGATGAACTCCAACTGTGACTGGGAACTGTGAGGTGTCACCTACAGGAGTTCGGATGGCAGTTGAGGAATTAAGATAGGTTAGCTGCACAGCTTTAAGGAGTGCTTCTAGTATTTGTTGGTATCGGAGCTCCTCCCATAAGGTTGACGGGGTATTCGGTCGAAGGCTTTCTCCAAATTCAAAAAGCCGTGAGCAGTGGTCTATTCCACTCCTTCGCTTTTTCCATAATGCGTCGAACCACGTGAATGGCATCGGTGGTTCCGAGCTCTGGTGGAAAACCACATTGCATCCGACTGGTGTTAACTACCTCTCTAAGCCTGGCGTTCAAAACTCGTTCGAAAATTTTCAGGGTGTGGCACATCAGGCGAATTGGGCGATAGTTGAAGCAGCTGGCAATGTCACCTTTCTTGTTGTAGATGGGCACAGTGACGCTTTTTTGACCAATTTGTTGGGATCGCACCCTTCTCAACACACTTATTGAAGAGTTGAGTCAGGTGACGGCACCCTCCACGTTGGTTCCAGACTTCTACTAGAATGTCATCAGGGCCGGTGGCTTTCCCATTTTTCATCTTCCTCATTGCTTCATCGACTTCTTGCTCGGTGATGCACGGTATAGGTCCATGAATTTGTGGCCCTTTCGGGAGATGTGGATGTGGGAACTCCACGTTGCAGATTTCTTAGAACTGTTCTTGCCAACGTTGTTTGATTTTGCTGAATTCGTGCAAGAGTACTCCATTTTTGTCCTTGATGAAGTTGTTGTATTTACGAAGTCCTGTGTTGCTCTTGAGCGTCCTTTAGCAAGAAGTAGATAATTTTTTCACCTTCCTCAGTGTTCAGCTTCGCGATCATTATATCCGTCTTGTCTTGGATAGCTTTGCGATGGTTTTCTTGGTTTCTCGTTTAGCTACACAGTATTCCCTGGTCTCGGCCGTAGGGTTAAGATGCCAGATTTTGTACGCATTCTTCTTGGACTGAGTCGCTGTTGCTACGTCATTGTTCCAAAACCATGCTGGTTCATCCGGTGCAATCTTGAATTCCCTTTTGTAGCCGATTGTCCGCGCAATATCTCTGATTTATCGAGTGAGCTGTTTCCAGGCTTGATCTTCGTCGTTAGGAAGTTTCTATTAGCAGGTCTTAGATCGGCAATTTTGCTCCATCTTAGGAGCCCCCAACTGAATCTCGGTTGTTTAGGCGGGCGAGTTCCTAGGCATCTTGATGGAAGTGACGACGGGACGGTGATGACTGTTAACAGTTATCGATGGGATCACTTTGCAATATAGAATATTACTTCGGTGGCTCTTTCTTGCCAGAATATAGTCGATCTGTGCTTTGAAATCTTCATTGTAGTGTGTTACCAGGTAGGATTCTCTTTTTTGAAAAAAAAAGAAGAGTTGGTAATGCGTGCCATAAACGCAGCGTTCTTTTGTATCCTCATATTAATCATTGCTTGCGCAAAAATGACCATTGAGGTCTCCCATGATATACAGATGTTCATTGATTGGGCGTGCGGACGCCACGTCAGCGAGTTGTTCCCAGAACGTTTCTTTCACGCTGTTGGGCATATTTGCCTATGGGGCGTATGCGCACATGATATGTGTCGCTCTTGTGCCGAAGATCATGGTAATGTACATGATGGGATCAGAAATTCTCTGCACATCCTTGACAGTGTGTTCCAGTTTTTGTGACACTGCGATGGCGACACCGTTGGTCTTGGATTGTTGACCGTTGTAGTATGTATTGTAGCCACCGATCCTTTTAGCCGTAGCATCTGTCCATTTGGTTTCTTGTAGTGCCACCGCTGCCAAGATCACGGAAGCCATATAATTGCTCTAGCCTGCGACATCTACCTTATTTTTGCGATCAGTTCAGTTGTACGCAGTCTCCCAGAGACAATACCTCTGAAACCACAGGTTCCTTTCTTCTTGCGTCTTATTGTTAGATAAGGTTGCAATGGGCCACGATTCGTCGAGAACCTCGTTTAGCCGGATACGCTCACCACGTTCCAGTCATGGATTCTTCTTATGTAGTAAATGTAGAAGGCTACTGTTGAGTTTTTTTTGTTATAGAAGGGAATAATCCGTTTCTAATGTAGGGACAAAAGTTGCTTCTGACCGATCCCTTATGTAAATATATAAGGCGCTTTCTCGTAGCTAAAAAAGGTGCTGACAAATTATTGGCAAGGGAAACGGGACTAGGTACTTACACACTACGTTCTTTTTAATTCCCATTATTGTTTACTCGTACATAAACCCACCACCTCGTAGGCAGAAATCAAAGGCCGACCAGTCTTTCGGCGTGCCTGGTGACTGATTGCAAAGCAACATTTGTGCAATAGCTAACGAACTGTTATGATTGTTCTTATATGCCTAGGAAGAAAATTCGACGTTGTGGCAATTGATGCGTGTGGCCTGCCGTCATCGTCAGTAATATGTCCTGCTGAGCCTTTTCGCAGTCTGAAAATCTTGCGATTAATTAATAATGTGCTGAGGCCCACAGGTCGGTCGATGGTCAAGCTCGGCGTGAGCAGAAGTACAGCGAACCTGTTTCAGGCACAGTGGTTGTTAACCTTGTAATGGTCGACGATTCGGCATTCAGCCGATTTCGGCAGAGTGAGGTGTGTTGCATGTATGTATTCACTGTTCAAAGTAAAGTAGTTGTTTCGTAATTCGCTCAAAATTTGAACCTTTGCTCCTCAAAAATAACTTCTATGGACTAACCAATACCACGATGATGGTATGGAACCAGTCGCTCAGGAATTATCTGATTTATTCATCCCTGAATGAATTACAGGAGCAATCGAAAAATTCGTAGTGCTCTTTGATATGTTTAGAGTAGTTGAACTTTTGCATCTGGCTCCAGCGTGTCCAAAAAGGCACTGGTCAGGTGCAACAAGATCAAGGCTATACCGTGGGGTGTTATAGTAATTCAGGATACTCCTTTGGAATTTCTTCCATACGGTGAGAGGCGGAGAATTACCCATCCAGGCTGTTGAGGAGGACAGTAATGAACCTTTCGAGAGTGACTTTGTTGCTAAGCCGTTCCCAAAGCAGCAGAATGACTGATTGAACTACAGATCGTTGCTCGAACGACTGCCGCTCAGTATGTAGTTGATCAATCAGTATGTAGTTGATCCAGAGCAGTGCTGCTTCTCTGAGCCATGCTTTTTTGCAGTGGCTTCCTTCAGTGCCAGTACGATATAATATATCTCGTGCCTTCATTGATAATGAATAGAAGGCGGTCCGGTAAATTTTCTCCTTGTAGTACTATACATGTCATAGAGAGCGGGTAGGATAACTGTAATAAAGCGGAGAGCTTGATTTAGGAAATTAATAGTCTTAATGTCGTTCCGATACAACTAGCACTGAAACCATTACAAGAGGTTAATATGAAGGTCTTCAATTAAACTCTCATTCAATCCCTAAAGAAGTTCAAGCTCCATTTAGCGCTTCGCCGATTCCCAACATATTGGCCCTACCATTACGGCATTCATGTGCTCTGCATTCCATTCAGAACCCAACATAACCATGTGTATTCACTTTGTCCTTTACCGTATTTTTAGGTGATCAGGCGATTTGAGGAAGTTTTCCCTCTTTGTGTATTGATGAAGTTTCCTTACGCGGTAAGCAGCTTCTTTTCTTTTCCATCTATTGCTACTTGTCTTCCTGTTACTAAATTCTATATCTTTTAATATAACGTATTGCAAATGCCCAAACAATTTATTATATCCTTATTACACGAAACGGCAACAAAAAGTTTTTTCAATATTTGAAAGGCCCAAATAAGCTTGGGTGCTAACCAGTTTGGTCCAGTGCTTCGCTATATAGCGGCTTCGTAATGTAGGAAATAATGATGAACACGGCTAGCTAAAGTACTATACTATATTTTTTTGTAATGCGCACATATATAAAGCTTACACAGAATGGCGAATTGCATTCACACCAAGAATCCTCGCCGCCAACATACCTCGCTGTGGAGGCAAAACTCTGCCTAAGCTTTTGTATAGCAGACCAAGTTCGGCTGCATTCTTTTCAATTGAACGGTGCGACTCTTTTCGTGATTTTAATTGATTCTCGATCTCAAATGCTACTTCACTTAATCTCATCTCGGCAGCAACTCTCTACACGGCCAAGTAGTGGGTCACTTTTCGGAACTCCACAGAATCGCAAGTCCTCTTCTTATTCTGCGTCACGCTCTCTCAGCTCCTGTAACGCTAGAAGGCCTTGGTGATAATCCTGAATATCTTTCTTGCGCGTTCCATCCTGAATAGGCATTATATAGCTAGCTTGTGGTAGCTATTTGATGGGGTGTTCGAGAAGTTTCTGAATTTGACTCTGAATCTAACAGTAAGTGCGCATTTTTCGGTACATACAGAACATTTCCGATTAACACCTTGCCGACAGCGCGGCAGCCAAGTATGCCGCCATTTTTGCACCTCAATAGACATTGTGGCAACTATGTATGCCACACCAATTATTAGGTCGTGTAGAAAGTTGCTTTTCAGTGTTTCGTTTTTGAACGCTTTATTACACGCAAGCTGCCAATGATCTGTATGTGGTTTTTGAAGAGCTTTTCTTGTTCTATCTAAACAGCTAGCTAAGCTAAGTTCCTTGTAGTAGTTATCATCTTTTTGAAACTTGATAGTGCATACTCCGAGATCAAAATTTGCATATCCTTTTTCTCAGCTCAGAAAGCAGCCAGTAAGGTCGAGGACGCCAGGCTCAAGATATTATAGTCGCACTTGGCTGATCTTTGCAATAAATATGGTCTGAAGCAGTTGTCCAAAAAGCTTTTGTAAGAATAGCGAGAGCCCTGAATATTGTGAGAGTGGTGATCGGAGATTCGACAAGCCAACGATTAGTCGAACGTTCTGGCTGAAGCACGTTTGCACAAATCTATCGAGAGGGTCCCTCTCAAACTAATTGCGCCTGCCTTGTATTTTCCTGTTGTACGGGAAGAGCTGGAAAGTCCCAAAATTTCAAATAGGGCGTGCCGCGACAGGTCACCATTTTGAAGGGTGGTTAGCCGCTTTGTAGCTTGTTTCATGTCATGAAAACAATCCAATTTTTTAATCATTAGCGACGTACGATAAAGAACGGATCCTTTGCTACGGAATACGAACCTTTCGTGAAGTGATCGACCGCGATCAATCTCTACAAACTTTGCAAAAGTGAAACTTCACTGAAGGAAGGTTGAGATGATTTTCATAAGGTCAGCGGCTGGTCTAGCACTTCTAACCAGGTGGACCTGTTAATGTGGAAGAAGTACTCCTGATAATGTGTCAAACTACTCCTAGAACTTTGGCACATATGCTCGAAATTCCTTATTATAAAGGAACCGGCTCGTCGCTGACAGGTAGCTCGGACGCACATTCCACAACCAACCCTGCAGAAGTTCGACAAGATTGGCTACGAATTAGTCCTGCATACATCCTACTCGGTAGACGTTTTGCCTATAATACGTTACTTTCCCGACTACCTGGGTAGCTTCTCTAAAGAGTTATGCTTTAAAACCAATATGATGCTGAAACGACCTCCGCCGGGCTCATCGTCTCTAGAGCTCCAGTATTCTGGACTACTGATTCAGTGCAGCTCATTGGCAGAGGTTTGTGGATTCTAACACTCTTTACTCCAATCAAAAAGGTTTCGAATGAGCCGATACAGGCGTTCGAAAATCAAGGTCGAAAAGCGCAAGAACTTTCTTCACGACCTAATACATTTATTTTTTAGCGCACATGCTCGATTTATTCCTGAGCATTTTGTGCTCATTTTATGAGTCATTTATACATCAACATAACCAAGAACCATGTGGTTCACAGAATGACCAAGTACTCTTAAGTTTAGCAGAGGTTTTCCGAACTTGACGAAAGTATCCGTCAATACATTTCTCGTTTTCTTTTCATTAACGTAAACATGTTGGTAAAAAAGAATACTAGAAGCGAATACAAACCTATTCGCATGGAGAGGTATGTGTTTTTACTGAAACAACAACGTCTAAATTGATTCTTGAACCATAAAGGGAAAGTAAGAAAAATTTACCTTCTCATGGCCTTAACACGTCATTTCGGTCAAAATTCCAGTACTCTGACTCTCGATAAATGAGACAGATCGAACACTATTGAAAACAATTCAACGCATATGTACTACGTATTTACAACCCAAAACCCATGAATTTGGTGTGCGGCGGCGGCGCGCGCAAAATCGCTCTGTCCCACGCTGTCGCGAAAGGGAACGTTACTGTCAAAGGTGGGCCCAATGGGCGGGGCCTCCGGGCAAGTGTATAAAAGGGCTCTGCCATGCCAGTCAGGCGGCGTCAGTGTCGGTCGCTGGTCGTCAGTCAGCAGCTAAACGGTCTTCCTAGCCGTCCACGCAGCAGCCCGCCATCTTCTGTCAAGCCATAGCTCCAAGCGCCCCGATGGCCCCGGACTGGACTACTAGGAACGGTATAGCGACGGTACGATGTTCCCCTACGTGCATTATCGATTGATTGTAAATGTGTTAGAGGTAAAAGGTTTAGATTATACGAGTTACATGACACGACACATATGTGCACACATTCATAGGCTAGGATTCACCAAATCCTAGACACACGCGGTGCAAAAACCCAAAACGCGCGATGTCGTCAACGTGTCAAAATCAAGGTAGTTCGGATCCCCATACACTTCGTACAAGATGCAGGTGTTAATCCAGCACAGTCGACAGAAGTTTTGGAGGCGGCAAGCTCGACGAAGGTAACCCTTCATTGGATTTCGAGCATTTCTCTTCCAAGTGGTTGTCCAGATGGCCGAAAAACTCGTAGCGGGGACAAGAATTTGGCGAATGACATGCAACACAGTTTAGTAGCCCAGTTACTTTATTTTTTGCTCACGTGATGCTACAGTCTGCGTTCAAAGTACATCGCGGAGAAGAAACTGCCCTACTACGGAGAGTGTTGTCGCGAGTAGGCCTTTAGGATTTTGGTGTATTTTGGCTAACGACGAAGTTTTCCACGTCGTGCCCCACTTTCCAGGAAGGGTTATCTTAAAATGTAGAAGCATGCATAGAACACAGACTTATGAAGAACATTTCTCCTAAGCGCCCATCTCAATGCCAAAAACGCGGGTAAGTAGACTCAAATGCCATGCTTTCGATTGAGAAAATGCATTTAATCATAGCCATCAAAGCCGGCGGAGACTTCTCATGCAACCCACTAACTCAAACCCATTCAAAGTTATGTAATATTTCGGTATTGTGCTACTAATGTTCAACAGAAGCGCACGAATTCCAGAGTTGTCGTTCTTCAAAAATCGCTTTTGCAATCGTTTTCGTTCGAAGCATTACCAAATATGGGTAGCAGTAAACACGCAGGGATTTCAAAGTTCGGTCTTGTTTATTATTTGTGGAGGGTCTTCAGAGGGGAAGACTGTTGAGTCAGCTTCTAGGGCCTTATTGTGTAGAACGACATTCAATTTCCGACAAGACTCTGGGACAACACAACACTGACACACATTGTTTTCGTTCAGGCTTTCTACTCCTCGTTCTGTCACGTCACGATGATTTCTTACCTTCTTTTGTGTTTCTATCTATTCTTTCTTTCATTTATGGATTTCGCTGGCATAATCATCACTCGTAATGCTTCTTCTTCTACTTCGCCCTACTCCTCAGCTCACTGTCAAGATCTATCCATTATTCGATATGATACCTGTAAACCTGATCTATAGGGAGAACTAAACGCTCCTCCCCATCGCTTACAACTGGCACGGTGCCACAATAAACTATTCTTCAAATCTGCTCGCACGGTTCTTTCTAGTGATCAAGTGCAAGATTCATCTGTGGTGACAAACCTTGTTTTATACAACGACCGGCCTGCATCTCATTGATTCATATATGCTGTACAATCACCACTGTTCAACTGGAAGTAAAATATATGTAGACGGCGATCCGACAAACAATCAGCCGTTGTTTTGGCATCATTCCTATACCCTACATTTACTTCTGTTGAAACTTTCCCACTTTTGACAGTCTTTGCTTCTTTAGTATTGCGGGAGGATAAAGTTTCCAGCGTGATCTTTTTACGAAATGCGCCACGCATTCTCTCTCCACTCAATAGTTTTGTTCAAATGCACTGTGCAAGAAGTTGCGGTGACCATATATGTACAAACCAGTGTTTGCGTCCTTTCGCACGACTCGGATTCGAATTTAGGAACCAGAGTATGGGGCTTTGTTGGCTTTAGGAATTGATCTTGGAGGTATTGAAAGATTGGACAACAGCGGTAAATCCGATAAAAGACTCAATCCTCAAACAATCCTTGTGGGATGTGGCTCTAATTGCCACGACACTACCTCCTTACAATCATTCAAGCGGCGAACAGTGAAATGAACTCAATCTCTCTGCAGCATTGGAATGCGACGTTTCAAAAACAAAATACATGGATAATAGAGAATCCGATTACACTTAGGTGACTGCTGCATTTAGGGCAACTTCTTGCTTATCTGCCTACCATTCTCGCTATCGCATATTCCTAATCTTGAACAGCACTTCAACGATCGAATGGCTACCGTGGTATCGAAGTTGCACCTGAATTATGTACTCGATGATGCCTACATTACATTGTTGCATGCAAAATGAAGTTCGAATTCCTTTTTTGGTTGAGGATTTTCCTTTCGATCCATTCCATCAAGTCTTGTTCCACAGTTGAGTTCTACCAATAAAAAGCGGAAATAAAGAGCAGAACAATTCTTATTTCTCATGTTGAACAAATGTACAAATAAAATATGTGAAACTTGTGCGTAAAAAGTTGAACGACATGAATGTACGGCAATGGACGAATGAAGTTTAATCGAAACTATTAAAAAGTGCAGAAATCGGTGACCCCGCTGCTTCAGTGTGTTTCTTGTGGTAACGTTTTCATCGCAAAACTTAAGCGGCAGTACAAACAACTCAAATTGACATCACTAAGGAGATTGTATGAAAATAGAAGTCGGACTCTAATAAGATCGCAGTAGATCAAGTCCTAAAGCAAACGAAATTGTTCTCCCTCAATTCAGAAAAAAGCCGTTCCCGACAAAGTCCGGTGATTATTTTCTTTCAACAGCGGTGGCCTGGAGACCCATTTAGCCACAAGTGACTAGAACAGTTGAAGGATAGAGAAGTTCGTAAAGAATTATAGGCTTAGTACTCGGCGCAAATTCGAACATGTAATCGACGTCAAGAAGGTGAATCAGACTACAGACTAGTTCCATCTCGATGCAGGACTTTTAGTATTCGGTCCTTACAGGAAGGACTGCCTAAAATATAACATACTTTTCTTATCTTAGGCTAGGCTTAATTGAAAACTGCATATCATGAAGTACCTTCGGGAAAACAAATAACTCTCGAACCTATCCAATTCATGAACTACATGATCCATGCACTCACGCTGTTCTTCGGTGCTCTGGTGAAAGCTGTAAAACTGCCACTGACTTTTACGAATATCGCGCAAGTCCAGTCGTAGTGTTGCGGAAAATGTTTCTGTTGCCACTTATATAACACCCTTTTGCTCCCCTCGCAATTTCAACGTGAAAGATAACCAATTACCTATAATACTATGTGACAGTAGCTTCCTCCAAAGGTAGACCGACCAGCAATGTTTCTGAAATACCTTTGTTTGCTCTAGCAACTGAGTTTCGATGTGAACAGCATTAATTTATTTCGTTCCAAAATGGCAGTGCACTTCTGTAGTTTCCACTTCGAAATGAAACACCTCGAACCGTAAATGGTGTTATTCCTGCAAATTGACTAGTTAGGGCAGCGAGTGTGTCCTGATGATTAGACGTCATAAAATAAACGTAAACAAAATGATAAACGTAAACGCTTAATAAATTAATTTCCATCATTTATATCCATAACTTAATTAATAAATTAATGAATGAATTTTAAACTAGGTTTTTCAAAAGATCTTTCGGTTTTTGACCACTTGTAATGTACATATCTCATATTCTTCAACTGAAGTGTGAACCGGTACAACCTACAAACCTCCGTCAAGAAGAAACTGGTTTGCACTTCTGTTGTTAGAAACTGTGGTGGTTTGGAGACCTAAACCTTGGCGAAAGTAGTTGGAGCAGGGAAACGAGAAGAAAAGTTTGAAAAAGTCGTTCGCAGCAAAGTGTCTTACCTCAGCTAGCTCACTTTTTGTGCCGGGTTGGTTATACGGCCACAAGGCTGCGCAACTGTGAGGACAGTACTCTGCGGCACCCAGCTGTTGACTTTTATGGACTTTTTATGCTCACCTGTTGCATGTTTGGGAACCTCACCTCACCTATCCTCTGCATGCGAAAATCGGATGCGCATCAAGTGCACAGGTGACGACAGCCTCCTTAAGGGCAAATCCCGAGATTAGCCCAACTTGTGGGAAGATACCGCGAGAAAAATTGTAAGGTCCTCACCTATCCATCTTCGTCGCAAAAGTTGCGCGGTTAGGGCGCTAATCGTTACGGGCACGCAACCAGCAATCCCGATTCCAACGCTTCCCACCCATCGTGAGAGGTGGTGAGATCAGCATGCATTGATATAGAGATCAGCGTGCTCCCTCAAACGACGTGCTCTCTCACGTATTTTGTCCTCTCTGATCGCCCTGTCGCCATCGTACCACATCTGATCGTATTGATGGTTAAGGCCTTAATTTCAGCGTTCCCAAAGAGTTCTATTACTTTCCTCTCTACTTTTAGATCGTTCCGCAGCTAAGCTATGACTACGGCGCGCTCTTAACACCAGTTTCATCTCAGGGTTAGCCTTTAATTTGTAGATATTTCTGTCAATGGAACGATTTGCTGATTGCAGTTATTTATGTCCTATCAGTTGTCAATAATTACAGCAGTGTGTCCCATCAGATGAAAGTAACTACAGCTATCATTCACCAACTATCAGCTATAACTAAGGAACACTAGTAACCAGGCTTAACTGGAGGCCTTCATCACCTATGGTTTGCGGTCTCCAATCGATCCGCATCTGGATTTCAGAAGGCGAGTCGACGTACTAATCCTTGGTTCAGATGCGACTCCAGCTCCAGTTCATATTTGTTTCAAAGCTCTTGATTACTCTTCACCATCCTCCGATATCCTATCACCCTCTACCTTCTTTGAGGTTTTACCCATCCATTACAAGGAAATTCCAAATCACTATTGCACGGTGTATTTACTGCGATTTCAGGACCTCGTGCAGAGTTGGTTCGGCGGTTTTTTCTGCTCTGTTTCATGTAAATTAGGGAGGAAATAATGGAATCAACAACCGAAAACAGGGAATCAGCTTCGGGTCAAAACTGTTGGCTTGTTTAAGGAGTGCGGAAAATTCATTCTAGTAGATCTGTATAGCTAGAGCACTGCTTCAAAATTAATCTTGAAGAAAGGCATTCAATAGTGAATAACCAGAAGCCGCAAGAACTCTCTGAGCAATATAAGGAGCCTATAGCAATATTCTAGACTTTACTTTTGTGAAAAAAAACTCATAGCTTCGTGTTGCTAGGGTGAGGCTCTCACAGCCTCTACCCTGGCCTTCTCCCTGACAGCACAATTTATCAAAGTTGTGAGTCACCTCATAGAGGAATCAGCAACACACGACAAACTCGCATCGCCGTTGTTGGTTCCGTGGGATTGGAAAATGATGGTGCCCTGGTGTGTTTTGAGAATTGCACTAACAATAAGTCGAATTCGATCGAAAGTAGAAGGGCTGGGAAATCTCTCTTAGCGGGCTTGAAAATTTTCGCTGCTCATCGAATTACATTTATTACCTGCTGTAAAATGAAAAATGGCACGTTCACTTCTTCAACCGTTTCATTTTCCTTAGTTATGATGGAACCGGAATTTTTGTGACGATCAAAAAAGCTACAAAAATATGTATTTTTGCATTTTTTTCTCTCTTTTGAAACGGAGAGTAGAATACGGTTCATAACTATAGACGTATCCTCAAAAAAGTCGTATCAAACTTTGAATGTATGCATGACAAAAAGATTATCGTAATCGGCATGCCTGGAAACCTCTGTGAAACTGTTTTAACACGTTGACGACATCGCGTGTTTTGGCATTTCGCACCGCGTGGGACATGCGCGGTTTTGCGAGCGCGCCGTCCGCACCTTAGCTTCGCCTAATTTTGATTTAAAATGCACAGCAACTTGAATGTCATAGAATTATTTCGGCAAAGAGGAAAGCATAAGGTTAGCTGTATAAATGGCAGTAGATTTTTGTTACGAAGAACGCATAATGACCACAAAGAAGCAAAACACGTCACTTTGGCTGCGAATGAAGTTGAAGGCATTTACATTTGAGTTCTTCCATCAAATACAAATATTTTAAAACTTTAAAAACTTAAAAAGTTTTGTATTAACTGCTTCTACAATCTTACATATGAATGCTTACTGCAGTGAAAGGAATACTACGAAGGAATCGAAATGAAAGTTTCGTGCATTCAGAAAATCTTTGCTAAATCAAGGGATATTTGAGCACTCTGGCCCCCATATGGTTTATAGTTTTGCATGTATTATCTGTGTATGTCCAGTGCGGTGCAAAAATTCTGACGTCTGCTCGTCAGCCTGTCGTCAACGTGTTAATGGGAATCGGAGGAAAATTGGCCATCATTGAACAGTTGGCTACTAAATGGACTGTTTCACCATCATAGATGCACATTGGAAACCGGACACTTTACACGGAGAAATTACAATTTCAAGATATGCAGCTATAACTGCCAAAGAGTACTGCGCATCGCATCGCCGAATGTTTTGGGATTGACAGCTATCAGCAGACGAGCAGGCTCTCTTTATCGTGCAAATGAAAATCAGCACATTGGTCATGGTGAATAAAATAATCGGCAGAGTCGAATAATAAAGTAGGCAGATAGGGAACGCCGTAATCAACGATAGTTCTTTAACTCGCTTTGCTCCGATTTTCAAACAATAGCAAGATTGCTTGATGCTCATTTGCGCAAGAGAAAAGCTGGGAATCTCATCACTACTGATGCTGAGTTCGTATCATTATTCCTTACTCTATTTTCCCTTTTCAGTTCCAAACTTCTTTTTTACTTAATTTATACGCGCTTCCAAACATGCACGCTATGGTAGTATTGATGCTTTCTATGGAAAGTGTTGCAGGTTGATATCTGGTAACGTATCCTAATTAGAATTTTCAATGCCTGACGCATTGGTATTCTTGCCTGTGATAAGTGAAGAAAAGTATGCTCCACACTCGTATGACTCGAATATTTTAATTTTTTCGCTGATTTTTCCTCGTCATCCGACGTTTTTCAGCATGCCATACGAATGTTATCATCAATATTTTAAATTATCCTACTATATATAATTCACTAATTATGTCTGTGTGTGTCTGTCTGTACGTACGTCCGTCTGTCACTGAATTCATAGCGCGCTTCGCTGCAGGCATGGAACGCTGTATTTTGAATATGTTGTAAGGGGTGAGACGGCAACATATTTGGTGGGGTTTATAAAGTGATACCGACTGATAAGATCTCATATTTATTTTGTTTTTGCTTAGTTTTAGCACCATCATCTTTTCTGCTTTTCTTCAAAACATATGCGCTAGTTCGCACGTAGTCCCCGAGGGTTCGATCATTTGGCACCAAACCTCTGTACTTAGGAGGATAGAAGCAGGCTGGCCCTCGTAAGTTATTGTGTGGACGTACCATTATGATGGTATGCGTTGCGCATGTCATACTGGACTGACCATCGCGTGTATGAGCGGTGTTTTCGAGCCAAAAGTTGTGCTTGAAAAAGATTGATCAAAAACATCGCCGGCGCTTTACATGTGATCGGACGGCTAACGAAGATCACTTGAAGTGTGCAGAACATTAAGCAGATACCCTTAGCCTCTGGAACACTTCCAGAGGCTAAGGGTTTCATCGCTTCCAGGACTGGAGTAAAGGACTTGAGATGAAGAGAATGGAATTTTGGTCTGTAGTTGTAGATAACGGAGAACAGAAGAAATCCAACAACGAATTGAGCTCTCGATAAGCCACACAGAAACATGCATGATAGATTGTGTCAACATTTAGATTTGAGACCTCTACGTATGGTGGTAAAGCATTTCGTTACAGAAAGTGGATTTGGCAAAGAGAGAGAGCGGAGCGAGCAAGCAGTACTGGTTGCCCCTATGGGAAGAGATTTCCGACTCTGCTGTAACATCAGCATTTTACAGGAAATATTCCCCGACAACTAAGTGAAAAAACGATGTGGATGGCGGTTGATGGACAGCTGGGGGTGAATTCGAAACCAGAATTTCGCGGAAAAAGCCATCTATACCATGAAGTAGTATAATACAAATGTTGTACGGTACTCGCAGTAAAAAACGTAAAAAAAACACGCGAAAAACGCGGATTCGCGTTTTTTTCGTTTTTTCTTTATAACTCGGTTGAAAATTGAGGTTTTCAAAAGAAAAAAGCTTTGAACTCAGCTCGTCGAGTTCTATAAGAAAATACTCTTAAATTTTTGGAAAGCCCTACTTCAGATTGCGCCATGCACTCGAGCTTTGGCTCGAGAAAAAATTGTTTGAATGTGGTGCGCATATAATCCCGCTTATGCATCATGATCTTTCTTTAGAAAGATGGGTCGCAGTAGTTGCTCTAGAATGCGCCGCATATTCAACATGGTCCATTGTATTGTGAATGGATCGATTGCTTTTTTTCCAGATTTCATGGCCGATTCCATAGCGGCGCGGTAAATGACTAACATGTACATTGACTGCGCTCAAAAACATCCCTCTCGTGTTCAAATGAAATCATAGATCATTTTTCAGCAGTACAGTTAGCCTAATTTGGTGAACTTTTCCAATGTTTTGAACGAAGGTTTTTCCGAAACTGAGGGTAGCGGGGAAATTTCTTCACAGTTGTAGAGTACGCTTACTTGGGTGTAGAATAAGAATCACACACTTGCTTGCAGATGACCGCTCCCTCCCGTGCTGCGCCGTGAACAGGCCTCCTCGTCATGCCCAGCCTGCTCGAGTAAAAATTTTCCAAGGTTTGAGCGAAGGTTTTTCCGAAACCTGAGGAGGTAGAGGGAAAATCTCTCCTACTGTTGGGAGAGTACGCTTACTTGTACATGTGAAATAAGATGGCATTACTTGCTTGTAGACGAGCGCTTCTGCCGTGCTGTGGCTGTCGCCTCTCATGCGCCTTTGGGAAAGATCAGATTTTGCATTTCAGATGAACTCGCAGGCCTGAGATGTGCCCCATTAGCGTCCCGATGACAAGTGCTATCGAATGATATGCATTACTTCCCCAGTTGAAACTTTGGTTTTCACCGTTTCAGCTTCCCCTATTGCCGGATTCTGCACTATTCACGATTTACTCCCTAAAATCTCAAAGTTTCATTTTCTCGTCGAAACTTTGCCTATTGGGGGTAATTCGATGCCCTGATACGATATATGACGTTAACTTTTGATGCTGTTTGTATTTGGCGCCCACGGCTGCTTTCACCAAATCTGGCTGAAAACGTCGTGCTACAGGAGTTTTTTGGGAACCTGATCACGAATATAACATCAGTCTTTGACGCCGGCGCCAGGTGGAGTCACAGAAAACAACACTTCACAGTCAGAGGGTACTCTTGGGCACCTTTCTCAGAGCGCCGACTATCAGACCGTGGAAAAGGTCATCGAATCAGGAGGACTTTCCCAAGACAGGGAAGGCAGCAAAAGCATGTTTCACGTTTTCGAAACGAGATACACGATGGCTCTTGCTACTCTTAGCCGAACACAATGTCAATGAGAGCTATTGGGCATAGCCTTGAAGGACGTGTACACACTCTCAAGTTGATCTGCACTTACTGATAGCGACTCCATGGGGTTGGATGTCTGTGCCAATATGCATTCATGTCAACGATCCATGAGCCTAATCAACGACGAACGGCACAACGGCTGGATTGCAATCGTCGAGCATGCCGCATATGGACCTCGACGAGACCAAGGTTATAGGTTCATGCCCGAAAGGGATCCCGTTTTCGAGAATTGTAATTTTCACTGAGTCCATTGGTGTTCGCACTTTCTTCTTATTTTGGCTGCGCGACATGGGCAATTTGAAGGACAAGGAATAACGAGGCTCAACGTCGGCCACACCAATTCAATTCAGTGGAGCGGTTCTTCTCGCGACGTATGTGTGGGGCACCTCAGGAGGGAACCCGCCGATCTCGGCAGGTTCGCGGTGGCGAGATGGAATTGACGAGTTATCAAATGCAAATACAACGCCAACGTTGGGTTACGTAGGCCAAGTTGGCTGTTTGGAAGGCTTTGAAAGAGGAGTGGACTCCTTCGGATGGTTGAAGGAAAGACTTTTCAACCCTACTGCGGCCTCACCATGGAGTAGTACATCCAAACCCGGTACTACCATCCTCAGTGACAGCTGGAGAGCTTACAGTCGAATTGCTGCTGCTCAACGCATACAGGCATATCTCCAGTAAAAAGTGAAAGAGACGTCTGCTTAGCCCCAGTTTCCCACGGTCTGGCTCCTTCCCGTCGTGGAAAGTCTCCGATTCGATGACCCTTTCCACGGTCTGACAGTCGGCGCTCTGAGAAAGGTGCCTAGAGTACGCTCTGACTGTGAAGGTTGTTTGTGACTCCACATGGCGCCGGCGTCCAAAAACTGGATGTTATATTCGTGGATCAGGACCCAAAAAACTCCTGTACACAGCTTTTCAGCAGATTTGGTGAAACAGCCGTGCGCCAAATGACACCAAGCCAAAAAATAGAAATGTCATATTCGTAATCAGGGCATCGAATACCCAATAGGCAAACGACGAAAAATGAAACACTTTGAGATTTTGAGGCAGTAATCGTGGATAGTGCCCAATCCGGCAGTAGGAGAAGGCTGAAAACGGTGAAAAACCAAAGTTCCAACGGGGTAATGCATATCATTCGATAGCACTTTTACGTGTGAAGCTAACGGGCACATTTCAGGTCTGCGAGTTCATCTGGAAATGCAAAAAATCTGAAATTTCCACCAAGGGCATGACGAGAGGCATGTTTTGGGGTCACACCACGGGAAGAAACGCTCACTTGCGACCGAGTTTTCCACACATAATCCTACAGACAAGTGACCATAGTCTACAACAGTGAAGGAAATTCTTCGCTTTTCTTACAGCTATTCAACAAAACATTCCTCTGAAAATGGAACTTTGTCACGTAATAGGGGCAAGGCATGACAGGGTGATGTTGGGGCCACACCCACGGAAGAAAGGCTCGCCTGCGACCAAGGTTTCCATATATCCTTACAGACAGGTGACCGTAGTCTACGACAGTGAAGTGCAATTGTTCGCTATCTTCACAGCTTTCTGCAAACATCTCCTTTGAAAATGGAAAATGTCACATAATAGTCCCACTATGGCTGCTGAGAAACTGTTCAAAGATTCCACTTGATAACAGAGGATGGGATTGAGTGCAGAGGGAACAAGTAAACCAAAAAGCGCTTAGAAACGAAATGAAGATCTAAGAATTCGGGAAATAAGATTTCATCTAATCTCACAATGTGGTGGATGAGATTGAGTAGCGTGCGCAGCTGGGGTCAGTTTGAAGGCCCTTCTCTGGTGGGTAGCGGTCAGCTGCGCATGAGCGGATTATATACGCATCACATGTGAGCAACTACTTTTTTGAGATGAAAATCGAGGTGCATGGCGCAATCCTATATGGAGCTTCTCCAAAGTATCAAAGCACATTCTTTATATCGTTCGACGAGCTGAATTCAAAGAAATCTTCGGATTCTCGGAAAGCTCAACTTTGAACGAGTTATAACGAATGTTCACGAAATTAAACGCGTTATTCGCGTGAATTTTCGATTTCAAACGGCGATTGCTGTA